ATATATATATATATATATATATATATATATATATATATATATATATATATATATAATCTGTGTGTGTATTATAAAATGCATACGATGAAATGCCTCATAGAGGAATTTCACTTTCACAAGGCACAGAGAAGTACAATTCACTCTCCGCTGGATCCTGTAAATGTCAGTCACACCTTCTGCCAGAAGGAAGGCTTTGAGATCTTCTTCCGTATCAGCCAAGAAGTCCTCATGATTCACCACATACTTGCAGAGGTTTAAGGCCGGGTGAGAGAACATGTATATGAAATCTGGCTATTTCTTTTAATTCAGAGAATTTGCGTATTTGTTCGTCAGAACGTCATTCGAAGAGGATTGTGCCATTCCTCTCGCGAACCACAGTCTGAAATTTGCCAAACTTTTCGATACATCTGGCTAATTTAATGGCACTGAGGCTCTTTATTGTTTACCCTTCATCTATGGACCAAATCCACTAAAGGACATGAGGAAACGGGGCTCTGCGGTCCATCAGAATATTTGCAGAATAAGTTTTCTAAATGGATAGTTTTACTAACTAATCTCCTCTTGCTTACGGAGAAGGGCAGGGGAAGATTTGCTATCCTTGGAGAGGATATCAGATTTATTTCCGTGGTCCCAGCCCACCACGGAGCCCAACAACGAGACACTCCATGGCAATGCCAGGGTTGCCACGGGAATATAGCAGGGAGAAGCGTGGCTCCGCTGCATGGTTGCAGGGGGACATCATGACCGCGTCGTCATGCAGGGCAAACGCATAGATCGGCGGTTACACAAAATGGGATGAGAGAAAAGAATGATCATGTACGATGGGGAAAAAGGAAGATGAGTGGTGAAAGGAATTCTTGAGAGCCTCCCTACCAACCCACCTCGACGGGCTACGAATTGCAGTGTCATTTTATACTCACATTACATTGACTTTCGCCCCGTTGCTCAAAAGAAATCTGACAGTTTCCTCTTGACCCATGTAAACTGCATGGAACAACGCTGTCCAACCTTCGGCGTCTGCGACATTTATACCAAATTCCTAAAAACATTATTTTTATTAGTTCATTTAATACTTGGTCTTTGGTTTAGGCTTTGATACCTGGTCTATCTCGGGTACAATGCGCACTAGGTATTATTACCAACGCTTAAGCTAACATGTTGCGGCTTTCATGAGGGCAATGATAAGGGCCGCACCCTGGCAGTCTAAAAGTTGGTAACATTACCTAGGTCGTGAGCCAACGAAACTGTCAAAGACTACATTCGCGAAAGCCTTTGTCTACCATTGAGTTGTTAATTTTATTTAAATCCAAAAAGCAGAAATGTCAATATTTTTGGATTCGCTTTTACCAATGTTGTTGCGAGTGCTGCTCCTTATCTGATCCTTGCATCCTGTGGTGCTAATCCATGACAGTCTTTAAAGCAGGACCAGATGTAAAGACTTCTATCAGAGGTTAGCAAACTTCAAGTAATCAATAAATATGATAAATTAATGATCAGTAAACAGTTAGGAATAATAACGCATATATTACTCCTTTTAAACATTTCCAATGCACTTAAATATTGATTTGTTTGTAAAAAACAAAACCAATTTTATATCATGTAATTTAGACAATTTGCTTCTAATTACACTTAGTTTTCAAAAATAAAGGGTTATAATTTATCACTCTTTAATTTGCAATTTATTACTCTTTAATTTACACATCCCAAACAGTGAGACTAGGTTATATTTAATTGGTTTTTGTTTTTAAAAATCCTTATATTACCTTGCTCCTCGCCACACTGGTTTCAAAAGGCAATGGATGTCTCTCTTTGGCACAAACAATGTACTGTATATACTCGTGATGCCGTGAGAAAGTAGCTAAAATAATTCGTCAGGTATTTGTGTAACAGAGATCGACTTTCAGAAAAACGAACGTATTAGTATTACGAATGTAACCCTGACAAGTTATTGGTATTCGCCGTGCACGAATTTTGGAGAACAGTACAATTACTATGACAAGATAAACCACGGGGAAGAAATACCCACATAGTGGACAACAAGTGAAATTTCACTAATACCCAACAAAGGTCCCAGAGACGATTTGAATAACTACAATTCCATTAGACTGATATCTAAAACGTATAAATTGTTTTTCAAAATTATAAGTCGATAGATTACGAAAACAGCAGATGAAAATCAACCAACACAACACGCTGGATTCCGATCGGGATTCTCAATAATATATTACTTACAGACAGTGAACCAAATAAGAGAGAAATGTGAAGAATTCTACCTTAAACAGTACATCGGATTTATAGGCTTTCGTTTCCGTCGAACATCAGTACGTACTTCAAGCTCTACAACACCAAGAGATTCACAGAAAATATTAACGAATTCTGACAAACCTACACACAAACAGCTGGGGCAAAGTCAGAACAGAAACAACAGGAGAAAATGAAGACTTACCAAGGGAGTAAAAGAATATCCCATCCCGCCACAATTGTTTTCAGCACTAATTTAGACTGGGAGGGAAAATTTGGCATCAACGTAAATGGAAGGAAGCTGTCGCACCTGAGATTTGCAGACGATATGGTATTATTCACGAAGTCGGCGAGAGAACTACCTGAAATGATGACGCAGTTGTGAGACCAGAGTGCTGTAACAGGACTGACAATTGTACACAAAAAAACAAAACTAATGACAATCCATACGGAAATTGGTGTTAAAACACACACACACACGAAATAGTGTATGCCCCAGAATACATCTACTTGGGACAGACAATCTGTTATATATAAAAGAGCAGACGAGGGAATTAACGGAAGAATAGCGAGAATAACGAATAAAGAGTTAGAAAAAGAAATGCAAGAAGACAATATGAGATGGTGGAGAGAAACTACAGGAAGTAGCAGCAAAGCAGTGGACACGAGCTGCACAGGAGGTGGTGGTGGTGGTGGAAACGAAGAGCATGAAGTGTCGAGTGTAAAGCATACCCTGAAGCGGGGAAATAGTGCTCAACCACCATCAGAAGTAGCTCATCTGATGTATATCAAGAGATCACCCTGCTTAGATACAGAGGGCCTTTGCCCAAAAGTGATTGGTGTAGGCTAATTTATTTATTATTATATTGTTGTGTTCAATTGCATTTGCATATTATTGCCATTGCCCTTTTCGTGTGCCTTTTTTATGAAAGTGTATTCAAATTAGTACAATTATATTGTGATTTTAAACATTTCAATCGTGTCGAGGTATTTTTTTTCGCCTTTCTCAGCTATCCTTACCTCTCCTAGATTTTTCTTTTAATTTTTTTTTCTTTTTTGTGTTCAGGTTAAAATCCTGGACCATAAGCTACACTCTTACTTGTAGTAAACCACTGTGGGTTGTGTGAACAGCATACAGTCGATGCGGACCTCGCAGAAGCCGGGTCGATCTAAAAAGTTGCACGGAAAGAGTGTGCGTGGTTTACACATACCGTGGGGGTTGCACCAAAATTTCGTATTTCTAAATTTGAACTTTTTGAAAATATAGGGTTCAACGAAAGTGTAACCTGCGCCATTATTTTAGGAATTTTTGTTTTATCCATGTGAGAAATAACGAAAAATTTGGAGCGATTTTTATGAGTTTTTAAAATAAATTGTTAAAGCAGAAATTTTGCGAAAACTATTCGTTTTCCCCCAAATTTTGTATATAACAATTTTTGAAAGCTTATTTTTCAAAACATTTTTAAGGCAAAAATAACTTCAATTTTGTAGTTTTAAATCACTAACATTTTGCAATTTTTGAAAAATCAAGATATTTCATCGGAAGTGAGAACTGCTTTCTTAAGCGCCTTTAATGCTTTCCGAGAACAAAATTTAATCGAAATATTTGGAGCCATTTTTGAGAATATTTTGAAAATTTTGAGGCTTCATAAAAAGTATTCCTCAAAATCAAGATATCATTTTCAAACTCAGACGGTCTCAAGTTCCTGTAAATTGATCGAACACAATCAACTTTGAAGAAAATCGGCTGAACGGTTTTGACGTTTGCATTGACCATAGGCGGATTGATTGCGGTTTCAACTTCAACTATTATAGTCAGTGGTGCCCAAGTCAAAGAACTTTTAAAAAATGTAAATAGTTTTAATAAATGGAGTTTTGCAGATGCAACTTACCCGCTGATAAAAGCATGTACATAACCTAAAAAGCAGGAGCCTGCGTTGGTTGGAATTTCGTCTTGAAATAGAATCCCTTGTTCACATTATAAAAAATTGCGTAATATAGTCGCTTGTAATTTACACTTGACTTTTACGTGTAACATTAATTAAAACAATTAAATTCATTGTAACAATTTACAATTGTAATTTAATTGTAAAAATTTATAATTGTAATTTAATTGTAACAATTTATAATTGTAATTTAATTGTGACAATTAAATTAATATTTACGGATAATTACTCTCCTACATTCATCGCCAACTTCTCTTGTGGTTTCAGAAAGTACACTTTCAAACCCGCTTCTCATATAAGCTATATTTCTTCGTGTTTCTTTAATTTTCTGTCTATAGTAACCGATGGCATGTGCCTTTGTTTGGAGAATGTTTTACAATATTACCGGGAAGGGAAAAAATTATCAAAAATCCTCAACACAAAGTCAGGCAAAATTGACAAATAACCACTAACAGAAGCGATTCTATCATATTCAACCTTATCTTTGTTACTTAGCATTGCAAAGAATACTTTCTGAAGAGAATTTATGTGCACATACACAGTGTTCACAGTGGACACACACAGTGTTCACAAGTAGCTCTGCATGGTTCCATCCAGTTAGGCAAAACGTTAAGATCACTCATGCAAAACAAATGTGATGCTGGTCTTTCATAACCATGGATCGTATAACCGAAGTCAGTGTGCGACAACTGTTTCGATAGTGGAATCAAATTAATGCTAAATAGCAGAGGGATAGGGGTAGCAAGATTTCCTTTTAGTCGTAGGAACCATTACGACATTCTTTGTTCAACTGGCAACAAATAGTTCTCTAGGGGTCGACCTTTTTTTAGCTGTTGCTGGAGTTAAAACTTTGTAAATTACTAGCAGAGAAGTGATTGGCCAATAGATATTCGTCAAAGAACCGTCTCCCGCTTTGGGTAGCAAATTCGTGATGCCGCATGTGAAACATTCCGGGATTTTCTTACTAAGATCTTATTAACAGCCTTTGCTCTATGAGAATATAATGCTGTTAAATTCTTTATTAAAAAATATTGGATCTTATCAATCCCGGGGGATTTGCAGTTTCCTATGATGTTCATTGCTTGGAAAGGGTCCTCTTCCGAGAATTCGTGAACGTGTTTACTCAGTGAAGCTGTTTAGTCGGTGTTGCTGTCGGCCGTCTGTGTTCTTGTCTGACCCCAAAATTATCATGAATACCAGAGATGCAGTTGCATTCACGATGTGAACGATTTCAGTAATATCTAGAAATCTACCTAGAGACTGTACCTTCTCATTTAAGACGGAATTCGCTATCTCTCTCTTTCTTAGCTTCATCAGTATCATACATTCTCCTAAACGGCGAGCGAGATTCAAATGGGAGCAGACGAACTCTATCTCGCGTCAAAGGAGATTTCGCATCATGTCTCTATCACGTGATTTATAGCCAGATGAATTTTCACCACTGACCGAGGTTTTATTGAGTAGAGATGAACCCAACAGGATCATCAGGAATATTAGATGGTTCTAAATGTTCATGTGGATAGGTCGATTGAAGATCATACATGCACATTTCCCTGAATGTCAGCATGTTTTTCTGCTTGAATGTTCCACTACTGATTATATATTGTCGTTGACTGGGGAGCTTCTTTGAATCTAGGAAGTAACTGGGTTCCGCTCTCTCCATATCTTGTAAACTATTTCTGAGCCCCGCTTTTCGAACATCACATCACCTCCTTCAGTTCATCCCGTGACCATCTCTGACGATGGCTTTGCGCTACTGCTGGCCCTGGGACTAACATCCGTAGCATGGCCATACGTCAAGTTGATATTAACTCCGTTTCTGAGCAGGTGTGGGTATTGGTAGAACAAGGCATGCTAAGATTCATTACATTTCTTGTTCAAACATTTTCTCTTTTGTTTTAGGGAAGTTTCGCAGGAAGCAAATCCGAGGTCACATATCACATTTAACCCATGGGTCCTGCCATCCTTTACTGCGACCCACAGTGACGTCAGGACATCCCTCCGCAGGCCCCAGCAAGGGGTCCTCCGATCGTCAGTCAGCATCACTAAAACCTACGGGAATTTCACCGACTGATGAAGGCAGCCTCCGCTGACTATGCAAGGTTCGGGCCTTCACGTTAATCAGTGGCCTGGTTTGCCAACCCAGTTTCTCTCCTGTACCCTCCATGGGCCCATAACAGAAGTTAAGGTTCATGAACCTTGCATCCAATTCCCGTAATGAATGCAGCTGCCCCTAACACGGTGACGGAGTCTCGGTAGATGGGCATAAACCATAATTTCAACTTTGTCGCTGGCTCAATACGGCAGCTGATGAAACATGCGCAAGAGCTTCAACAAAAACAATATCGCAAATACAGGGATCATCGGTACAGAAAAACGCTGCGATCTGTAACAAAACAAGACACAATGACCAATATTGCAACTACAGTCAACAAATGCAAACTAATCGCACTATAGCGGCAAACAAACCTGATACTGTTATTCTGAATTAGGAGAAAAAACTAGTATTTTCTTAGATATTGCAGTGTCGTACGATGAAAACGTCGTTACCTAAGATGCAAAGAAATGTCTTAAATAGAGAAAGAGATAAAAAGAGTTTGTAAATCGAGATCAACCGAATGTGGTTTGTAAAAGCACAGGTTGTCCATATAATTATCGGAGCTTTGAGATTTGTTCCGCAAAATTTGTGCAAGAACTTGGCTAAACACTACTTGCAGCAGCAAAAATGCTGCTAAAAAACACAAAATGTTTTTCTATAAAATGACACGCATACTGCTTATGGATAACAAATAAAATATTCTAGTATTGTTCAACATTTTAATATTTTAACGTCATCTTCCCGAATACTACGTTATAACATAATATACGGATACTCAGTAAAATAGTTTCTTACATACCAAGAATATAATAAAAATTGCTGTTCCATAATGCAAGACGTGAACAGCAATATTTAAGAGATTCTTGCTTGGAACCTTGCTGTCGCATTACGTCAGCTGTGTCGTACAGAATGAGGAACTGAGCACGAGAATTCAGGGTGTACTCGCACTATGAAAACAGGAGGAATAACAATGAAATATTTGCATTTTCAGCCAAATCTAAACTCTTTCATTATTTACGATTTCCCGAGGCCACGATTGTCTAACGAAGCCATGGACATCTATCATAAAGCTCACGGTTTTCTTTCAAATTCTGCGCCCATTGGAAATTAGCATTGCTATTGCTGATGATAACTACAACAACAACAACAACAACAACAACAACAACAACAACAACAATAATAATAATAATAATAATAATAATAATAATAATAATAATAATAATAATAATAATAATAATATTGAAGGCAATAAACAAATTTTAATATTATCTGGTGATCATTTTTGTTTCTCCACAAGGAGTATGGAAGAACAGAAATATGTCAATATACTGTACAGAAAACGGATTTAAGTGGACAAGACATTTGTCAATAAAATTGTAACATTTAATATCAAGAATTGATTAAATGTAAGAAACAAACAATTCTCAAAACATTTTGACCAGGCATGTGATGAAGGTCATTAAAATAATCGGTTATTTCTTTTCTAAAAATATTACAAATGCTTGGGACCTGATGAGTATATTACACATAAAAATCATGTTTTCTATTTGTAACAAATTCAAATGATTTTAACAGAAGAAGGTGTAGGCCTAATCATTTGGAAAATAATTCAAGTATGTAAAAGTGTCTTTGTCCATGGAATGCTCTACAATTTCGTTCATTTGTTAGTAATTAGAGTTCAGGCTATTACTAATTCTCTTGATATCTTGTCGTGAAGTAGAGTTTTAGCATTTTGAGAGTGTACAATATATGTAAATGAAGTACAATAACAGATCTAATACATTTTAATACTTAACAATCTTGACAAAAAATGAAGAAAAAAAGAGGAAAAAGAAAACTGAGAAAATGAGAACAAGAAAAAGAAAAAAGGAAAAACCGTAGGAAAAATCTTATTTGTATTAGTTTAATCATTTCTTCAAACGGTTTATGAAATTAAGTTTTTAAGCAGTAATATACAAAAATTACTAAGAGTACAATAGAAATTTAAAATAATATCAACATACAATAAGAATTTAATGAGTATAATTTCAAATTCATTATTTAAATGTCAATATAGATGGAATAAAATTCTTACATATTTACTAATATTTAATAATTTTCAATGTTCTAGCCTAATAGTAATAGTCATCGAATTTTAGTGCAGTCACCAAATCTTCATCAAATTTTCATTAGATTTACACAAAACTTATTATAAATAAATGGCTTCTTAAATAATAAAAACCACTAGAGACAACAAATTTATATGTGATGTCACCAAAAGTTTGGAAAAAAATAATTGTAATTGACAGTGATATTAAAATTAATATTGATGATACTGTACTACTACATATTGAAATACTATACACTTCTATTATGCAGAGTGTTTATCTACTTAATAACAAAACAAACTCACAATGCAGGTCATGTGTTGAAGTAAATGTTTCGCAACATCGATGGCACCCAAGCGAGAAGCAATCATTAATGGTGTCAGTCCTTTGGTGCCAGGGAAATTAGCACCAGCTCCACTCCTCAACAAGAGGCCAATGACTCGTACATGATGACTTGAGCAAGCATACATTAACGGACTCCATCCCTCCGAGTTAAGTTTGTCGAGAGTGCCACTGAAAATATTGGATGTGTCAAAAACTATGGAAAATTTATGTTTAAATATCTTAAAATATCGAAATACGGACCTTTGAATTGATGAATCCACACAATCGTAGGCACCGAGGTATGCAGCACAGTGAATATTAAACATTTTCCAGAGCCAGTTTTCGTTCAAATTTTCACAATTCGCAAACGAACTTCCCACTATTATCTTGGAACACTAGTTCTAAAATAATGAATTTTGTAACGACAAATAATCTTTTCGATAGTTCCAAAATGTTGTGGAATATTATCAACTGCCTCAGAAACTTCCGAAATAAAATTGAAAGAGTTCTCCAACATATAACTCGTCAGCAGTAAAAATCTCAATCCAGCCGCGGGTAACAGCAGTAAACTCGTAGCGCTAAACCAAAGAAGGTTCCTATATTCTAGGCTGTGCTCAATGGGCTGCGCAGAGCGCCGAAGTTTGGTTGTTCTGTGCATGACGTCACCGTCGAGAAACTTCAAGGAGTTTGTCAAGAGAAATTCCAGGTTGTGTTTGTTGTTTGAGCAATTTTGACCGCTTTTTGTGAATTTTTGATCCATCATTTTCGATAGATTTGCAACTTATTTAAAGTGGTTAGGGCAGCTTAAATCCATACAGAGCTGCGTAAGTTAGTATCGGACGAAGAATATATTTGTAAATAATTAGAGAGGAATGGATTTTTAAAGAAGAGTTGCGGTTGAGAATCGGGCGCAAAATAGCTGACCGTCTATTGGCTTCAATTAGTTTGGTCAAGATGTGACTGAGCCAATTTAATCTGGTTTCGATGAGAAAGCCGAGATAACGAATAGAGGATGTTAGAGGACACCAGAGAATGATAGAAGAGTCCAGCGATAAGAGGCGAGGAAAGACAAAATGCCTTAAAGTAAAAGCTTTGGCGATTGATTTATTGGAATTAATTTTCATTTTCACAAATTTTTAACATATTATACGTTTTTAAGGTGACATTGAATTTCACAACATGCTTTTCGATTAGCATACAAGAGTAAATTATCATCTACAAAGAGATCTGCGTTAATTGTATTTCTGGTAGGAACGACGTACAAATTAAATAAGAAAGGAGATAGGGACCGTTGTAGAACATACCCTGCGATATGAGTATGCTGTGAGTATGCAGGAAATTAAGCCAACGCCTCGTAAATAGATCTATGTATATGGCGTTGATTAATCTCCCATTTAAGCCTAAAGGCATTTTTCGCTCAATACGCCATAATTTTCTTTCACGGAGTTGACAACACTGTTGTTGACATCTTTAAGAGAATATGGGAAGGTAAGGGAACACGATCAAACGTCTAGGCGATCTCTAGGAAATCTGTAAGTAGGTGAAAACCAGATTGAAATGGAAAGTTAATTTGTTCTGTAAATCTTAGCGTTCTTGCAAATCACATGTCCATCAAATCAGATTTTTCAGAAACATCGAAAAACTTATTGTTGACAAGTTATAGCGCTTTCAAACAATGTAATATTCTGTACTACTTACCAGTATAGTTACAATAGTCTGCATATTCTACTATGCAATCATTTATAGTTATTATCAGAGATTATTTATTTATATCAGTTACTTATCAAGTTATTTCAAGTTAAAAGTTGGACATGTTTGCTTTTGTTTTGAAAATTTGGACATGTTTGCTTCTGTCCGAAGCTCCCGCTGATATTTTTGCTTTCGCATAAAAAACGCTTCTATTACACTGGTAACACATATTTTGGTGTCTCAGATATTAGACTTTTTTCTGGGTATTTTTTTAAATTTATTACTTCTATATAGACACAACGCGTCTCCTAGCTCCTTAAGGAGCGTTGAGCGCACTAGAGTAATCCTCCGTTGCAAGCGCCTTCTCGGGACCGTTGAGTACTCGCAGTCACGTCAGGGAATCGCCGACAGATAGCGTCTTCGAGCTCGCCTTGTGACATCTATTCATCGGCCAGAATTGGGAAGGAATTAGGATAGGGGGTAAGGTTTAGGACGCTTCACTGGGGTTGGAATAGCCCCTGTGAAGCATGCAAACTCGTTTTGTCGAAACAATTAGCATATGGAGTTCTACGAAGATTCTATGGGAATCGAACCCGGAACCTCAGTGGAGCAAGTGCAAGCGGTTTTTGCACTGAGTCACGAGAGCACTTTTCACTGTCACTGATTCAAAAAAATGCATTAGTTTTGCTCCATCAGATCTAGTTTTGTACATACAGATTTATCATTGTATAGCCCACTTCCACTGTGTATTAAAGAATTTGGTAGCATCACTGGAATGTGACAATTTTTATTATTGATATTAAGAACACGAATATACTATGGCTTTTAAATTTTTGAAATACTTGAAACCCCTAATTTTCTCGTGCTTTTATGTTAAGTGGCTAATTTAATTTGTATATATTTGTATTAAAAAGGTCAAGAAGATGTAATTTTTATTTTTTAGGAATGTATGTAGTATTTTGTTCAATTGATTATTGTAATTAATTTCTTTCATAACCCACAGGCGATAATACATCAAAATTGTCGAAACGTCTTGTATTTAAAGATTTAATTAAAAATGAAACTGTGAAAAATTCATTTTGTTTTTTTTATATAAGCTAGCAAAAAAGGGATCAATAATAGATACACAATAATTCTATTTGAATTGTTAGATCAACTATTTGATGAAGCATCATTGACATTGATTGAGGTGGTAAGGGGGTTTTGTGAACGAGTTCAAGGATTAAAATTAGGAATGTTGGGAGACAGACGAGGAAAACGCATAGCTTGATAAGTAAACTTATTATTATTGTTATAATAATAAGTATTATTATTAACATTATTATTATTGTTATTATTGGTTGAAGATGATTTTTTACCTTACCGTCGTTGTTTAATTTAGATTTTACAATTTTCGCGTAGTATGAACAAGCATTCGATCTTACGTTTGCCCGGTTCCTAACAGTCTTTGGAGAAATGATTGACCGTACAAGTATCACAGTGGACTTTTCTATTGCAATAATTATTGGTATGATTATAGTCTTGATCACGCCCATTTGAACTAGGAAGCAGAATGATCTCGTTTCAGTAAGTTCCTGTCTTTCACTCTTCGCGGATTTCACCGTTTACGTTACTAAAGAAAGTTCACTTATAGATAGACTACACAACATTCCCAAAAATACTACTGTAAAAATTGTGAATTATATCGAATTGATTATTTATCTGGCAGATATAAGAATAGCAGTAACGCAAATTTTTGGAGGATAGTAATCGAATGTTAAATTATAATTTACTCTATAATTATCGAGAAACAATAATTGGAGTGAGTGAGGAAAGTAGAAAAGAAGAAAGAAGCTGCGCACGGGGCGGAGTGACGCGGAAGCTGCCCGGGAGCTGCTCCGGCCGAAGGACGCCGCTGGTCCACGGAGCTAACGGGACCAGCAGCCCGACGCGACGTGACGCTCCGAGGCGGTCGCCCGATGCCACCGAGGTCGGGGCACAGGGGCGAAGCGAGGCTCGGGGCCGCGCCCAGCACAGCGGCAACTGCTCCGATTGGGGCCGAAGAACGTAACAGCCCCAAATCGAAGGCAACGTCTCATTATACATTTACAAAAATAAAATAATCATAGATATCTATAGAATAACATAATGCTACTACGCAGTTCTTGATTCATAAAATGTATAAAATTTTTGGAGGCGGACGGAAGTCAGCGGATGCAAAATTTCATACGGTGAATTTTGAATGTTTTTATAGAAATATTTCTTCCATATTTGTATCAACGGAAAGTGTTAGTTAATCAAATATATATTTGAAATTGTAATTTTTTCTGCAATTTCTGAACAAAACTGTTCAAATACGCCGAATACTATTCAAATACGTCGGAAAGAACGCCGACCTGCTTCCAACGATGAACTCTGGCCCGTATGGCCGAAATTAAGATAAGCTAGCTATAAGATAGTTTTAAGATATAATTATAACAGGAGGCTTCACCTCATACAAAGGGAACATTAAATCCACCTTTGGAAATACCATGTGTTTCAATGCAGAATTTGAACGAGAATAAACCTTATCACGCATGCCTCCCTGTAAAGAGTCTACGGACTGAGCAGCCGGAGCAATGCTGGATCGCCGTAACCAGGTAAGTCGGGGCAGCCACACGGTGGGTGTGGTTACTATAAAGATATGGCTAGCTATAAAGATAGTTTTAGATATAATTATAACAGGAGGCTTCACCTCATTACAAGGGAACATTAAATCCACTTTGGAAATACCGATGGTGTTTCAATGCAGAATTTGAACGAGAATAAACCTTATCACGCAAATCGCTCGCCTGGTAAAGAGTCTACGGACTGAAGGCAGCCGAGCAAAGTGCTGTGATCGCCGTAACCAGGTAAGTCGGGCAGCCACACGCGTGGGTGTGGTTACTATATAATATATATAGTATATATTATATATAGATATAATATATATATA